CCCTGGAGGGAGCGATACAATGGAGTTATCTATCTAGTTTAGTTACTTTTTATCTAGAGTCAATTACACCGGTGGTGCTAGAACTTGTCGCAAACGGTCACTTTAATGCTAGAACTTGCAGCATACATTAAAGTGGTGCAAAAACTTGGCTCGAACGTGCAAATACGGTGCAAATCTCGTTTGCATACGGCTGCGATGCTGACAAGGCATGACAGCGTGGCATAGGGCCCGCTGTCAGTGACTTCCAAAAAAATCTCGGTTTTTTATTATTTTTTTCTCACAAAAAGGCCCCTGTCAGGTGTATTGCATCCGGTGGGTCCCACTTGTCAGCAAAACATCACAAATTTTATTAGAATGAAAAATATGCAGCCGAGGGATTCGTACCAGTAACCTCAGTCTAAACATAACGCGCAGCTAACCATCAGTCAAGAGCTCACATCACGACATAGTGGCATACGTTTTATATATTTGAATTAAGTTATATAACTAAAGAATCTTAATCATAAAAAGGGTTACGCGCACGGTGTTTCAAGCCGGCTACCCAACTAAAACAATTAGGGGGGCGTGCCACTCCAACTATGTACTCACATGTGTAAATATAATTGCTACAGACTATGTCTATAACAGAACGTGCTCCTGGGCTACAGTTTATGTTTTTTTTTTCACTTTCGGAAAGTTGTAAAGAAATGTAAATTGTAATTATAAATAATATACATATAAATAAATATATTAGACTAAAACATTGCTCATCTATTAATTTTTAAAAATCAATGAAATTAAATTACGAATTAATTGTATAATTAAAAAGTTTTTTCATATTAAATAAAATATAAAAGTAATTTTAGGAAATATGTGTATTTAAAAATTATCATATCAGTTCAAAAATGTACAAGTTCTTTTAATAAAATATTCATGTTGTATATAAAATTGTGCAAGCTTTAATGTTTTTATGTTGTTTTAATAAAATTTATGATGTGGGCTGACAGGTGGGACCACCCAATGCCATACATGCAGTTGTTGTACGCCTCACAGGGGCCTTTACGTGAGAAAAAATAAAAAAATTGAGGTTTTTTTTAAAGAGAACACCACACGCCCAATCTTCACCATATAGTCACTAACAGCGGGCCCTATGCCATGCTGTCATGCCTCGTCAGCTTCGCCGGAGTATACAAACGAGATTTGCACCGTATTTGCACGCTCAAGCCAAGTTTTTGCACCATTTTAATGTATGCCGCAAGTTCTAGCACTAAAGTGACTGTTTACGCCAAGTTCTAGCACCACCAGTGTAATTGACTCTTTTATCTATCGTTAGTTTGCTTATGTGCTTGTTAAAAAAAATTCAAAAACCACAAAACAATTTAAAAACAACTGTACACTTTTTGTCCACTTAATCTTTTTGTGATTCCATAGCGTAGCAGGGGCATCTTGCTTGTATATATCTTATGTTGAGTATTTAAAGAAGCCATGGGGGCTGAGGAAAAATGTAGCACTTGTGAGACGCAGCTAGAGCAAGGATAAGAGCATGCAGCTCCAACAGTGCTTACATATTCGCATATGGCTAGATGCTGTATCCTATTTTCAGTAGTATCTGTGCTACTAATTAAGGAGAAATTAAAGGTGCATTCATATTGTTGTTGCCAGCATGCATGCATGCGACAGCCTGGTTCATTACAACAATACATCACGGTAGAGACGATCAGGTTTGTGCCAGAAGAGGATAACAATGAGGACGGTGAAGACGGAAGGTAGCTAGGGCCGAATTGAAGATGGCCACTTGTCCTCTGGACCAATATTTACTACCGTACACAGAAGTTGGCCACCAGAAATTTACTTACTAGGCGCCGGTGAGCCGATCTGATCTCAAGTCTGAAGCGATCCACCACACGATACGAGTATAGTACGTTCTGGGTTAGCTAGCTAGCTAGTCACAGTGACCGGCAGCGGCAGGGAGGGAGGGAGATGTGGAGGCTCAAGGTGTCGGAGGGCGGCGGGCCGTGGTTGCGGTCGGTGAACAACTTCCTTGGCAGGGCAGTGTGGGAGTTCGACCCCGACCACGGCACGCCGGAGGAGCGCGCCGAGGTTGATAGAGTCCGCCGGGAGTTCACCCAGCGCCGCTTCCACAAGAGGGAGTCACAGGATCTTCTTATGCGCATGCAGGTAGGTATACATATAAACTTTTGGTTTTTTTCCCCACTGTTTGTTAGTAGTATGTTATTGCTTTTCTCAAATTATCTTATCTATTGCAGTATGCAAAAGAAAAGCATCTTCAGGTTCAGGTGGATCATCCGGCCATCAAGCTTGTAGATATTGCACAAGTCACACAAGAGACCATATTAACATCATTGAGGCGAGCCCTTAGTCAACACTCTGCTCTGCAAGCACACGATGGGCATTGGCCTGGCGATTACAGCGGAATTATGTTCATTATGCCCATCTTGGTCTGTGTTTTATTTTGCTTACTTATCTCACTATATTTTGACTTCACTTTGTTTCTTGAAATATATTTTATAGTGAGTCGGTGAATATTGCTAGCAGAAAGCAAATGCTCTATTGTTGGATGCTGAACCTGATTGTCTGTGAGATAATTTTTACGAATTTTTTTTACCCAAGTCTTTCCAACAAGTTGTATGTGCACTGCCAGAAATTCTGTAGTAAAAATTTCACTTCCTTTTGTACTGCTTAAGTAAGGACTATCTAATTATAGTGCCAGCAATAATCTCCATATATACACAAGATGCATAAGATTTTTTTACCTTCAAATGTTGGCCAGTTCAGATCAAGAGTTGCATACCGTAGTTGGCCTGTGGATAACATTATGGTGATGATTTTTATTTTATCTCGCAGATATTTGCTCTACATGTTACTAGAACACTCAATACCGTCCTTTCAAGAGAACATCGGCGTGAGATTTGTCGCTATATTTACAACCATCAGGCATGCAAACATCAGTTCCACTTACTTTCTAGTAATAGCCTTTATATGCCAAATGCGCATTACTGTTCCATGGTACAGAAGAACATGACGATTTTGCATTTATTGAAATCCATGTAGAATGAAGATGGTGGTTGGGGCACACAAGTGTTGGGGCCAAGCACCATGTTTGGATCATGCTTAAACTATGTTACCCTGAGGCTTCTTGATGAGGTGGACAATGAAGCCTTGATCAAGGGGCGTGCTTGGATTCTATTGCATGGAAGTGCAGCTGCAATACCACAATGGGGAAAGATATGGCTCTCTGTATGCCACTGAGACACAAACAATCTAGTGTGTGACATATATCTATGCATGCGTGTGTGAAAATAAATCGGGCTCCGTGGGGCATGGGTTTTTTTTAATAAAAAACTGGCAATTTCCTTAAGTATCATGAAGGGATTTTTTTTTCTAAACCCGTTGAATGCTAAGTCTAACCTTTTTTCCTAACTATCTAGAACAAACTTATAGTGCGGTTTAACATTTAATCATAATTCCTTTTGCATGAACTTTCTGTGTACGTACTACACTGTTAATAAATAAGGAAACCAATTAAAATTCATCAAAATCTTGATATTGATGGTATTTTTTCTAGCTAATAGTTTTCCTCCAAATTAAAATGTCTTTCCATGACTGTTTGTTGTTTCTATGTTAATTATGAGAATAAATTTCTAAACAATTATGGAATAATTATTTATCTCCGCTTTAAGTAGTGGAAGCATTCAGAATGAAATAGTTTAGCTTCTTAGTTTCTAGGGTATGTTAGGTCTCAACCCTACAATTACGAAATGTTGGTGGCAAAAAATGTTGTGCTAGTTATGAATTATTCCTAGAAACCATTATTTCTTAGCAAAGGAGGGGTTAATGTAACTGATTCATGTTTCATAAATGAAGGTGGTCGGTTTGTATGAATGGTCTGGAAATAATTCGATCATTCCTGAACTATGGCTTGTCCCACATTTTCTTCCAATTCATCCAGGTACTTGTTTCTTTTGAGTTAGTAAATATTAACAAATCATCTACATATGTAATGCCCCTCATGACTAAAATGCACACTATATTGTCAAATTTATTCTTACTAACTCAATTGTCTCTGTTTTTTCCCAATATGCACCAGTCAACTTTCTCGAATTTCTCCTTGCCTTACTATCTACATTGAATGCACATTTTCTATGTCATACATGGCCATATTGACATTTTCATGCACTATTCTATTGGCTATTGTTAGAAGGGAGAGAGGGAATTGGTGGAATAGTTGTTCGTATATTGCTTGAGCCTCGTGGGCATATATATAGGAGTACATGATCTACTTGGAGTACAAGTCAAGGTAGAATAATATCCTACGCTATCCTAGCTTTCCTAATAATCATGATACTCAACATCCCCCGCAGTCACAACGGTAGCGACACAGACGGTGAGACTGGAGAATAATCCGAAGGCAAGCCGACGGACCCCCCCCCCCCCAGTCGTAACGGTCGATGCATCGCGGAGTCGTGGCTGGAGTGAAAACTGACGAGGTTGCTCAAGCAGGCGGTAGCCCTTTGTGCCGTTTGTCAATGTAGCCGAGAGCGTGGGTGGTGGAGCCGTGGTCGAGGTAGCCGTGCGAAGAATGCCGTGGTCGATGTCGGGTCGGGGTGGCCGGTGTCGACGAAGTCGCCGTGGAGCCGCGAGCGCAAGGAGGCGCCGAGTTAGTCATAGGTGCAGAAGTGTCGAAATAGTGGTGCGCTGGGAAGAAGACGTTGTTGACGACGCATCGCGCGGGGTTGCCAACCCCGGGGACACATCGTAGACGAAGGCACGCGCCGGTGTTGCCAGCACCGGGCACGCATAGACGGGCGAAGGCGAAGTTGACGAAGCGCCGCACCAGGCTTGCCAGTCCCGGGGACACGTCGTGGACGAAGGCACACATCGGTGTTGCTAGCACCGGGCATGCATAGACGAGGGACCTGCACGAGCTGTACGCCATGTCGAAGAAGTTGGAGGGGCCAGCAAAGAAGAACTCGACGACGGTTGCGGCGCCAATTGGCACGGGGCTGATGTCGCTCGCGGTTGTCGGAGTAGACGAAGTGGTCGGGGTAGATGACGACGACACTGGCGACGGGCTGGTGCTTGGACGAAGACGAAGGGGGTGGACGGGCGGCGGCGGCCAAAGAAGAGCGGCGGCGGTGCTCGAAGTAGGCGAAGAACCCTGACAGCGTGACGAAGAGCGGCGCGGACGGTGGCGTTACCGCGCCAAGGGAGACGGCGCGACGCATACCACGGGAGGTCGGCGCGCGGTGTCGGCGGAGTGGACCGCGGGCCGCGGCGCTACGGCCCGAAGTGGCGACTCAGCGGCGGCTGGCAGGTCGGGGCGACGGCAGAAAGACCTTGGGGCGGTGGCAGGGACCGCGGGCCGCGGCACTACGGCCCGAAGGGGCGGTGCAGCGGCGGCTGGCAGGTCGGGGCGACGGCAGAAAGACCTTGGGGCGGTGGCAGGGACCGCGGGCCGCGGCACTACGGCCCGAAGGGGCGGTGCAGCAACGGAGCGCGGGTCGGTGCAACCGCGAGGACTGCCTCGGGGCGGCAGCGTGGACCGTGTGCCACGCTCGCTACGGCCCGAGGGGGCGATGCAGCAGCGCGCGAGGGTCAGTGCAGCCACGGGGACGGCCTGGAGCGGACGACCCCGGGGCGGCGGTGGACTGCGGGCCGCGGCACTACAACCCGAAGGGGCGACGCAACGGTGACGCGGGTCGGTGCAGCCGGGACTACGGGGCAGCGGCGCTGCGGCCCGACGGGGCAACGCAGCGGCAGCCCGATGCTCGATCGGTGAAGGAGCACGTTGAACTCGAGGACGATCTTCATGGGACCTGTGAAGGTGCGCGTAACCGATGGGTCAGGTCAGTTGCACGGCACGGATGGGACGTATCACCGGCAGACAGGTGATCAATCTGATTGCTCGCGAGGTCGGAGTGGCTGCGCGGTTGGAGACGGCCACGAAGAGCAGCTTGATGAACGACCATTGGACCTGACCGGAGGTGGAAAGCTAGCATCGGTTTGATTGCTTGTCCACGTGTATGCGTAATAATAGATGTCACGTCAAGCTGTTTGATACTAGATAATAATCTGATCTCCGTATAGCCTGATGGCATTAGTCTGCTGCATGGCGGCCAGGGGACTGCCTCCGCAACACACGAGGGACGAACCAGCGGGACAATCCAATCTACCGCCGCATGGACATCGGTCTCCTGCAGATCCCGCTGGAGGTGGAGTGGAGGTTGCCCGATCGGATCAAGGCGATGAAGGGCCGACGGAGAGCGACTTGCGGCCGGATGCGTGCATGACGGCCGTTCCGGACTGTCACGTGGAGACCGTCTAGTCGAAGAAGAAGCCGGTGTAGTCAACGCCGATGTTGGAGTAGAGGCGCGCGAGGTGTCGATGGCGGCGGCGGGCCACACAAATCGATCGTAGATCGAAAAACCGAAAAGAAAACACTGATTAAAGCGACCGGCGGGAGAGAGAAAACCCGGATCAAGAGATTAGGAAAATGACTCTCTAGGGCATCCGGTCAACATGACCGGCGGACGAACCCTAGGTATGGGCGGCGCGGCCCCCGGTGGCGGTCATGGAGGCCGACCGCCCCAGGGGCGGCGCACGGGGCGGAAGCGCTGGGCGGCGGCTAGGGTTTGGATCGGTTAGGCTGATACCATGTTAGAAGGGAGAGAGGGAATTGGTGGAATAGTTGTTCGTATATTGTTTGAGCCTCGTGGGCATATATATAGGAGTACATGATTTAGGTAGAATAATATCCTACGCTATCCTAACTTTCCTAATAATCACGATACTCAATAGCTATTAATTAAGTCACCGAATTTAATTAAATTTTATGAAGTTATGGGGAGATTGTTAACATATGAAGTAGTACATGTTCAAAGTTGATTTTTGGGTAAACTGTAGTTACGTGGAAAATATCTCAATAGACTCATGTTTCATTGCATTCATTATGTTCAATGGAAATTGATATCTGGGATATTGCCGCGGGGATTTCGTGAACGTACACATTTCTAAGAGGGGTGGCGGATTGTGCGAGAGCATGGTTGAGGAACAAGATTCACATGATGAATTTTACTCAGGTTTGGGACCTCTGCTATATAGGTCTCCTATTACGGGCTTGGTCCTTCCCCGTCCTACTGGGCCAGTTCCATGTCATGGACTTGCTCATTTGGATTCCCCTCATCAGATTCCACATGTTAAAAATATACACCCTTCATTCCATACCTTGAACTAAAACTTTCACAAGAATTATGGAACGTAGAGAGTGATAAGGATTTGGACTTAACTGAATGTTGACACACTTCAGCAAAATGCAATTGTATGTGAGATTGATAGTTTTGACACTTCACATGTAACTATGCGCATTTTTTGGATAATTTTAGGACCACTTTATTTGTTTTAGTCATAGGAAAATAGTGTACTGCTATGGGAGGTAGTTGCCCCCCGGTTGGCACCACATGATCAATGTGCCTTCTTAGATTCATACCTGTGGAAAGCTATGTGGTCACATGAATCTATAGATTGTGTGGATGGGGGATGTAGGAGGGACATCTACCCCCACTCCCACAGCAAATCTGGAGTGATATAATGAGTGTAAGTTGATACCATGCATACGAATGATGAAAGTTCTATACTAATAAGTAACAGAGTTGCCTGTTTGTTTTGAAACTATAATTCGGGAGTGCTAAGTTTTGTTGTTTATGTGGGTAAAAGTAATGAATCAAGAACCATTCTGCAATCAGCATCTTAAAAAATGCATTTGGATGTTACTTTTATGAACATTTTTCTTATTCGAGTGAACTATCTTTTCCATAGGACGATTTTGGTGCTTTTGCCGGTTGATTTATATGCCAATGTCTTATCTGTATGGTAAAAAGTTTGTTGGCCCAATTACACCAACAATATTGGCAATACGAGAGGAGCTCTATAGCATACCATACCGTGAGGTCGATTGGAATAAAGCACGTGATACTTGTGCCAAGGTTTGTTTTAATAATAGTGCTAAGTTTTGGAAGCAAATATATTAGTAAGTTATTTTTTGAAAACAGATGGTACCATAGAGTGCAAACCATCTACATATTTTTTTATTTATGTATGTGTAAATTTTATGTTTGATACATACTATTATTTATTTATGTGTATGCTCATTGATTGCAAAATTAGAACAACACTGAATATCTCTAATTGTGTTTGGTTTTGCTTTCAAATTATAAGTTTATATATGTACTACATGTTTATGTTCATCTTGAGTTGAATTGCTTACACTTGTCACATGTGAATGTTCTTACGACAGAAAAGTAAAGTAAATAACTATTGAGAAACATGCGTGATTGCGAAAACTGTAGAAGAAACATTATGCAACTAGTGAAACGGATGATTAAAGCGTAGATAAGGTGATTGCCAATGGAAGTAAGATGGGAAAATTATAATTATTTACTTAGTATAAATCCTTCCTGTTTACCTCAAATTGAAATTGTGAAGTATTTAACTTATGTGTCTAATATATCATTTTAATTGTGTTTGGTTATTATCTGTCTTTGCATGTAGGAAGACCTTCGCTATCCACGTTCATTGCTGCAACATGTTATTTGGACATGTCTTACTAAATTTGTGGAACCAATGTTGAATTGTTGGCCAGTTAATAAGTTAAGAGATAAAGCATTGAAAAACCTCATGAAACATATCCATTATGAAGATGAAAGTACTAAATATCTCGGTATATGTCCAATTAACAAGGTAATATAGGCTTGCTTCTTAATCCGTGCAACAAAATAATGGTTGACTTTTGCTAGTTTTTCAAGAAAATTCGTCTAAGGCCAGATCCAATTTGTTTCCAATGGACCAAGCTTTATGTTTGGGACTGAATAGAACTGATTTGTAGATATTATGCATGATCTGCAATGTTTTGTCTATCTACATGTCATTTTCCCAGCCTATATATTCTACGTAATATTATTGGTAAAAATCTCATAGCCAATACTGTCTTGACTATAGTTTTGCTGACTAGAGGAGCTATGAAGCAGTCACATAAATAAATGCTTTATTGTATTCATTATGCATATATTTAGTGTAATAACTTTGGTGCTTAATTTACACTTTTTTCTTCTTTATACATGCATTATATTAAATATATGCATAGAAAAGGAAGATAATCATGGCATATGTTTAGTATTATTTAGTGGTGTATGCTTAGAACTACACCATCAAACCAGTCCCAACCCCCCAAATCCAGTCATTGCCACTGTCAAGTTCACGTGTTAGCATTCCTATTAGCCATTTTACCATCTAAATGATTTCTTTGCCATTTTCTCGCAATTTATATCATAACCTAATTAATTTGAACTAATGCATCAAGAAATTTTGTTTCTCTAGGCACTAAATATGATTTGTTGTTGGATTGATGATCCAAATTCAGATGCATTGAAGTTTCATATTCCAAGGATCTATGATTATTTATGGCTGGCAGAAGATGGCATGAAAGCACAAGTACCACTTTATTTTCATGTTTTTTCACTACTTTTTCTTCATTACATTTTTATGGTTTAGAATGGCCGAGCACCATTATGTGTAAACCTTGGCTTAAAAGGTCAGCTACTTCATCATGTTGATCCCACTACTACTGACAGATTGTTTGTTTATGCATTTTGTGTTACCAGTTTTTTTACCAATGAAACCAAATGGAGAATAGTATGTCACATCCCTATGTTTTTTTAGTTTAACTATAAATGTTCTTTCTTTTTTTTACAGTTTTTGTTCTACTGATCTTTTTAGTTTTTCCCTCACCTCCACGAATGTCATTCCATAAAAAAACTTTGCATGCACGTGAAACACATAAATGTGTTTTTGCCAAAAGAATTGGAATTTTTATTTATTTTACTATTCTGTAGACTTTATTGTTCTATCGGGTGCATGTGAGCTCGTACTCACAAACTCCATGTCCATTATATGAGATAGTTTTGTTGTGATACATCATCTCATCGAGGCCATCAATGAGAGGATCGAGTTCATTGGTTTTTGTTGAATGAATGGACATGATTTATTGGATTCATAAAACTTGCGCTTTTATAAGTAGTGGATAAGGAGATAAATTAACAATTAGTGGATAATGAGATAATGAGATAAACTGTCAATTAAACTAGAGCGTCCTCTAGCTCCCCCGACGCTGCCCCTCCCCTCTGTCCCCCGGTGTTTCACCAGTGATGAGCTTTGCAAAGGTCCCTCCCCTATACTACTAATAAGTTCATTTTCTTTGAATAAACCAAATCTAACCCTGCATCACTCCTTCTGCCTCCCCTTTGGTTTTTAGTAGTGGTTGGATGACAGATAAAATGATGCTAAGGAGGGGAGGGGGATGATTGGGGTGGTTCCTGTAAAGGAGAGGGGAGGCATCATGAGCGAAGATTATGTGTAGGTTTCTCTATGTGGATCCCCTTTGTTGGATAGCATGGATTCGACCCATTTTACTTGGCACCAATTTTTTAATTAAAGTCAATACTTAAAGCAAATAAAATGAAAATGTCACTAAAAATTCTAAGGAAATTTGAGAAAACCAAATTAGACAAGAGGAATCCAATAAAAACACAAAAATACAAACATAGGAAATACTGAAAATTCATTTCATCCTTTTATTAGGCAAAAGTTAAGTCTGAAACATTTGAGATTAATTTATGCAACTCCACAGAAATCAATTTATTGATACATGCACTTGGCTTGCAACATCCTTTCCATCAGTGTTTGAATACATCAAAATGAGGATGTTACATTGTTTTTATGCTTATTTGTTTTCTTATTGATATTGTCCTTGTATTTGATGCGAGAGCTTCTTTACGTACACATTTGTAATTCAAGTGTTCTATGAAGATACATGTGTATTGCATACACCCATTTTACCAAATTGTTTATGACAGGTATACGATGGTTGTCAAAGTTGGGAGACAGCTTTTATTATCCAAGCATATTGCTCAACAGACCTTATTAATGAGTTTGGCCCAATACTTCGAAAAGCCCATGAATTCATTAAAAATTCACAGGTTCAATATTCTCCATCTCCTAACTTGACATATTGTAAATAAAACAATATTGGCATAGTAATTTTGACATTAACTTCTTACTTATAGGTTCTTGAGAACCATCCTGACAGCAAAACTTATTACCGCCATAGATCGAAAGGTTCATGGACACTTTCAACAACAGATAATGGTTGGTCTGTATCAGATTGTACTGCAGAAGCACTTAAGGTCATGACAAATTATTGCAGATATTCTTGGTCGGACCCTTCCCCAGACCCTGCGCAAGCGGGAGCTACATGCACTGGGGCTGCCCTTTATTCTCTTAATCTAGAAAAGTGGGAATGTTCTTTCGTGGAAAGAGTCGATCATTAAGTGTACTACTCTTTAAAATGTGCCTCATCAAAAAAGTATCTAGGATTTTATAGATTCCATACATTTGGTTTAATCAACTTAACTAGGTGCATTGACAATGATTTTGCCTTACATAATAGAGTGGTGAATGATTCTAAAATTTCCCAAGAAGCCAATGAATGTCTATAGAAAAAGAGAACCATGACTCTCATACACAACTAATACAACACATCTTCATTTGTATTTTTGTATTATATATACATTATAAAATTCTTACACAAAAAATTGCAAGTGCACTTGTGTCATTATTTCATTGAATTTTGTGGAACTGCTTGATTATTTTCAAGTGTACACATACCCAAAATTTTGTCATGTGGATAAGTCACTAATTGCATAATATAGTTTTCTTAACTATTCTTATCTCTTTAGGCATTAGTATTGTTATCCAAGATCTCTCCTAATCTTGTGGGGGAACCAATAAAAGGAGAAGGGTTGTATGATGCAGTGGATTGCTTACTTTCTTTCATGGTATGATCCTAACTTGTATATTGTTTCATGTCCTCATAGTTAATTTCCTCAATTTTTTGAGGTACTTTGTCTAAATGATAAATAATCCAACCCACTTATACCATCTCTTCTATAGTCATGCCTACATGTAAAGGTTGTGTGGTCTTGTTTAGAGGTCAAGGTAGGGAAAACAACATGCCCTTGGGTCAAATTAACATTAAAAAGTATCAACGATAAATCTAAAGTTCAAAATCATGTGCATGCACGTAAAAAGAGATAATACAATGCGAAGGTGTGAACTGCATTAAAAAATTATGTCACTAATAGATAGTTCCCCCGATGACCAATAAATGTGTGCGAGTCGTGTAGATCATAATTTATAACTAATGATTAAATTTTACTATGGTTCACCAAAATAATGTGGGGGGATGGGGCATCATATGGATTGTTATGCTTACAAAATGTTGATTTGTGTCCTTGGAGTACATAAAGTGAGTGACCTGATGTCGTGACCAAACATACATCTACAAATATGCTCACATGGTGTTCGACTTGTTGAAGCCCTCTTTACAAAAAAGGGAAAGATTGGCAACAATAGAGATGGGCTCTGCTTCACTATCCAATGTCGATGATTGGGTACCCTATAAATTTACCTCAAAAGCTCAAAATGCGAGGACGGGAATTTTTTTTTGAACACTCCCTTCATGTCTAGCCTCCTCCAAGTCTTTGATGTGGGATCGATGTAGACCGGGAATATTATTATTAATATTGCATTTTAGGTCTTAAACTAGGGAACTCTTGGCTTTAGTGGCGGTGCCAGAGGTTAAGAACAATGGGTCCAAATGAACTACGAGCTGACTCTACAACTAAGAGATAGAATTGCCATTTCTTGGCTCTAATACATATTGAATTGCATGCATCATCTATCTCACCCAAAAGCTCAAGCTTATGAGGATACCTTAGCAATATATTTCAAGGAGTTGCTCCTACTCATTATGGTTAAGATCGGGTTACAAAAAATTGTTTTGTTCTCTTTGGTAATGCTAGGTTGGCTTGGCCTAAGTTCGACCATGGTCCTCAATGGCCGCTGAACCAATGTCAGGCCTTTTTTGGTCCTGGGATGACCCATTTTCCAAGCCGACACACCTGAAATATTACTTCAGACTAGTTTAATTCAATCAATGTTAGGACAAGACAAAGGGTACACTTCTGGGTATTAATTATGCCAAACATCATATGGGTAGAAGCGTGTTGTGGTGGAACAGTTGCAATGGTAGCAACAATATGGGTTCATCACATATTTGTCCAATGTTGGTGCTCTATTGTTGTCATCATGAGACATTCACAAAATATTAGGGATCGTATGGTGCAAACATGTATTAGCTACAAAAGGTTTCTAAACTTCCTCTCCTGGATTTTTGCACGTTACTCCAATTTCAGTGATGAATAATTTCTAAAGGATAAAGAGTTTGCCAGGCGCGTAAGATACAATTATATGTATCATCATCATTCCTTTAAATCATTATTATTTAGTGAAATTGTTGTAGTCTTCTGCTCTTGTATGGGTTATAAGTTTATATGTCTTCTTAAAACAAAGCATCTTCCTTTTTTTACCTTATTTTCTTGTTCTTTTTTTGGTAATGCTTACTACATTCTATTCTCTTTAACTAATTTAACCTTCCAATTCAAATCAATGATTATTGATAATACGCTTATCTCCTTTGAAGAACAAAGATGGTACCTTTTCTACATATGAGTGTAAGAGAACTACTTCATTGATTGAGGTGAGTATTTGGCAGTTCTACGTCTATTATATGGAAAACCAAGTGCACCAATTCTATGGGGACTCTGTTTTAATTGCATGTAACCAGGTAAAAAACCTTGTGTACAAAAAACAATCTTAAAGTAAGGACAAATAATGTCAGTTTGCAAATTCAGAATGGAAATTCAAATGTAACCAGTTCTCGGCCAGAAATACAGTCAATTTCAATTTTGAAAACTAACCAAATAGACAACCCACTACAGTGCACTTGACCACACTTGGGAATCAACTAGGTCTGAAGTGTTTTTTATCAGCCCAAATGATAACTAGCTGTACAATAATAAACGTTCAATAGTAGCTATGGATGACAAAAATAGCACATGAATATTATAAAAAATAAACTACGACATAATCCAATAGTTCAAACAAGGAAATAATTTTTAATTTCTAGCATTCGCTCATCGTTTATTCTTCTTATCTTATGTATTTTATATCTATTCAAAATGTCCAAATGATATTGTTGTTTTAACATGTTTTACTTGACCATACACTAACTTCTTTCTATTTGTAATAGGTTCTCAACCCTTCTGAGACTTTTCTGAATATTATGGTTGACTATCCGTAAGGAGGAAAACATCTTCCTTGCAGAAAATATCATTTATTCTTTTTCCTTCATATATTTGGAGAGCTAATTCACATGCTTAAATCAATTGATAGATCCGTCGAATGCACATCATCGGTGCTTCAAGCCTTGATTATGTTTAGAGAAATTTACCCAGGGTACCGCAAAGAAGAGATAGGACAATGCATAAAAAATGCTTCTGTGTTTATTGAGAATAGTCAACGAAAGGATGGCTCATGGTATCGAAAATATTTTGTTTGTTAATGTCAAGTATTTGAACTTTCAATATTGGAAGTCAATAATTGTATTATTTCTTATCTAATAGGTATGGCACTTGGGGTATATGTTTCACTTATGGAACATTATTTGCTGTACAAGGATTAATAGCTTCTGGAAGAACTTACGAAAATAGTTCCTTCATACGCAATGCATGCAACTTTCTGTTGTCAAAGCAGCTAAATACAGGTGGATGGGGAGAGACTTATCTTTCTAGTGAAACTGAGGTAACTGTTCTTCTTTTCTTTATTTAACCACATGCCGTTATTAGGGTTTGATAAGGTCATGCTTGGTTTGTATTTTTTTAACTTGAGCAAGATTTTTGAGATGCTATCCGCCTACCCCTCACCAAGCTTTTGAGATGTTATCCGCTAGCAGTTGTATCTGGCAGATCATTAACACAAAATCAATAGCCCCAGAGTGTTCAGAAATTCGAACCATCCATTGGAAATTCATTAGGAATAGGTTGTGTTGCGCAACCCTGGACGCACTAAACCAGCGTCCTAGGTATGTTATACTTGCAAGGCAAACTATAGAGCAACACAACCTTATAAGAGGTCTTTGGCCCTCCGTCCATATAATTTGTGCTCTACATCCCTCCACAGCCGTGTTTGTTCATACCATCTCGATAATTGCTAAGTTTCAGTTTCTGGCCAAAGGTTTGTTAAATGAACATGTTTTCATTGCAACTAGCTAAATTTCTGGTCAAATCAAAAGTCCATTGATGGCATGCTGCCCAAATCACTCATTGCTTAGCTGTAGGTTTTAGAAAACTAGAATAAGTATTGCTCCATTAGTGGCAAAAGGTCCATTGATGGCAAACCTTGACCTGTTAACATTTTCCTTCAGTCTATACTGAAACCATCATGCCTTCTGGAACCCCAATAAAATGGGACCGGCTAGGGGGCCACCTAGGGATTAACTAGCTGCGTTTTCAGCCAGACTTATTTCATCATGGTTAAGTTGTATATTTTTATTTGCTTGTAATTACTAGTTGTATACGGCCTAATCAATCCTCCCACAACTCCTATCTCTCAGACAAATTCCAATTCCAATTTCAATCATAGTAGCTGTCCCTTATTATGTTGTCACATGAACATAGAAATTAGTCATGTCAATTGATGTGATGGAAGTGTCTTGGAAGTGAAGTTGTGACAAAATACGTTTGTCCTTATTTGTTAGTCCTTATTATGTTCTTACCTTACCCGGCTGAATGTTTTACCGTAAAGACTTTGTTGTGCAAGCTACCAACTTGAGTCATTTGATTGAACAATTAATTATGTGCATAATGATAAGCCATTTAAAATTAGTATAATTCAAAATGTCTAGATCCCGTTCCCTTTGAACCATTGACATATCATGAGTTCTGATTATGGAAAATCTTAATGAATTTAATTATGGTTTCCACTCTAATATTTTACAGTCTTACGTGGATGCCGCTAGTCCTCATGCAGTCAACACTGCTTGGGCAATGTTAGCTTTAATTTATGCTGGGCAGGTATGTTTTCTTCATGGTTCATTTGAATTGACTCTGGGCTGCTCAAATATCATTAACTGTAAACTATTCTGGCATCCACATGTTATTTTCATATCATGGCCATTCTATTCAGGTTGAACGAGATCCCGCACCACTATATCATGCTGCAAAAGAATTGATCAATATGCAACTAGACACAGGCGAGTTTCCGCAGCAAGTAAGCATTGAACTTTTGAGGGTACAGAAGTAGCACTCTATATCCATAGTTCATTGTTCCTGCTTCGGGTCATAACTAGTAAATACTTTTCGAAAAAATATTTTGAAAGAAAAACACCCTACCATGATCGTGTCGAATCCTCTGATAACTCTGTTATACTAATACATATATGGGAGTATTATGTCAAATTACTTTTTTTTGGAAATGTATGTTACTGCTTCCTAAAGCATTCTGAACTTTCACCTTTCGTGGCAGGAACACATTGGATGCTTCAACTGCTCCTTTTACTACAATTACGGCAACTACAGCAATTTATTCCCCATCTGGGCTCTTGGGGAGTTCCGTCGTCGACTGCATGAGAAGAACTGAATCCGCTGAACATGATCCAACAGAAGATGGAAAATGGGCTATAGACAAACTACATCTATGAATCGTTGCGCTTGACTTCCAGAGTTAATTAGGCAGTACGCTGATTGCTGAAATAATACTTGAGTGCTGAATACTATAGCCTAATAACTCTGGAGAAAAGTCTAGGAATTTTTATGTGATGGAGCTGTGGTATGTAATAATACTCTGGAAAACAATGTATGCAGGAAGTGTATTCATTCAAATAATATCTTATATTCCAATTGGAATATCCAATGGTCTGACGAATTTATAGCAGTTGCCTATATAAGATGGTCAATTCATATCACTCAATAAATCTTCAAGCAGTCACTGTTACTGTATGAAAGAATTCAGTGAGTAAGACGATTTTGTTCGAGTGTGTCAAGAATTCATTGACTGAATCTGCTTCTTACCAAAATATGTTGAGTCTTGCAGAGTTACGCTTCTTTCAGGCACTTGAGAGAGTCGGTGGACGAAACAGAACATGCATTGCATGCAGTAAAAAACAGAGGAGGAGCTGCTCTGCTTCGGCCAACCAACTCGACACAAGCTGCAGTTACAAAGATTCCTAGACTTTTAACTACTGGCAGTACAATCAAGGCCTTATTACATCAAACCAAGAACTGACAAGGAACAGAGGAGGAGCGTTTCTGCCTTTTTATTGTATCGTTGCGTGAAATTCACAACCTTTCAATAAAACGAAAATTGTTCCATATAAAGGTAGCATCTTGGTCGTGCTTTCTAGCATTGGGCATCCAAAGATATGTACTACTCCCTCTGTAAAGAAATATAAGAGCTTTTAGATCACTAAAATAGTGATCCCTTTACGGGGGAGTATGTTTTTTAGGTGAGGATATCCCAGTTCAGAATTTTCCATCGGCCACTGTCGATACAAGCGAGAGAGGAAATTCGGCAACTTCAGGTTATCTGTCTCTGAGTGGATTTGCTCGTGGAGGTCCTACAAATATTCTTCTTCAGAGAGCTGACTAGGCAGACTCACTAACTTGATGAACTATTTTATACTTGATCATGGATGGATCACCAATAACAGAGCATAATTGACGGCCCAGCAGTTTCGTACAACTGATTACAGTACCAATGAACAGGCCCAACAATGACCTGTGCACCACCATGTCTAAGCTGAACACAACCGACTTATGGGCTTCTTCCAATGTTGGCTCTTCAGGTATTTGCTAGACTAGATGTTGAGCATAATTGACTTGACAGAGTTCAAGATTTGGACATAATCATGAAATAGAACAGCACGTGCCACACCGAGGAATGAACAGCACGTGCTGCCTGTCGGGGAGGTGCAAAGGCTCCCGTCATCTCTTCCAGCCCGCCTCCCCATGGAACAACGTCGCGCTCCAGCGGCAGCTCATCTCCGCGCAGCATGACCTCCAGGCCGTCTCCATCGCCGGCACCAGAGGCCGCATGGAACGCGAGCACAAGCCCCTGACCAACGCCGTGGAGGTGCTGCGTTGGTGCGTCGCCATGGAGAACTTCGGAGCTCAAGCGCGGGTGCACCGGAGATGTTAAGGAAATGCCAAAGAGAGAGAGAGAGAGAGTTAGAGGAAGAAGAAGATTGTGGGGCCCACCTATAATAACGGTCAACTAAACGGTCAAAATAAATAGAGTTGACTTTGTTGCCACGTCAGCCCTGACATGTGGATTCCACATGTCATAAACGTGTTGAGATCATCTAAACTAGCCATTATCTGAAAATGGTAGTTTTTAGTCATATTTTTTTTAAAAAAATTAATAGTTATCAGTGTCACTTTTTAAAATGTGGTAGTTCAATGGGATGCAAACCCTAAAGAGGTATTCCCTCCATCACAGTTTACAAAGCGCTTCAACAATCTCTGGAACCAAGGCGATTAACGATTGGACTGAAAAATAGCATCGGTAGTTATAGCACATCGCCTATTACTAGAGTAATTAATGCGTGCACACATGCATGGAGTGCTTCCTTCCCTTGTACACACATGCATGCAATTGTTCCACTCCGCCTACACACCTACTGAAGAGAAAATTGTGGGCTTAATTGCGGTTATCACATCCTAATTAATTGGGCATTAAACCAAATGCGTATAAAATCCCTCCGGTGGTGGAAATGCATGAGAATTGAAGCGCGCCGTGTAAATTGTGACGAAGGGAGTAGTTTTTTTGTCAACACTCCTTATATCCTTCAGCACAAAAATGTCAATGGCATGCATTTATTTGTATTTTTTGGGTTTTGTAGAAATATTATTAGGAAGGTATATCTCTGGATTGGATACATCAGATATTATGACGTAACCCAACTTTGCTCTTTTTTGCTTCTACATTATTTTTCCGCATTGTTGTCTTATAGGTAGGTCACAAGTGACGCTTCTTTATTTTGTATATCGGCCTGTAAGAAATAGATTCCCGCCGTGTTGCTGCATGTCGTCACTTCAAGTCATGGTCCAGTGCGAGTAATGGCCTGCAAATAAATATTGCTTCCTTGTAAAACTAGTAAATGGGTATGTGCAATGCACATTGATAGTAGTCAGAAAATTAATTGATCATTGATATCAGGCAAAAAATTCATCACGTTTTTGATAATAAGGAGGATATTAGTTAGGTGCTAATTATGTGGTAATCCATATTTGGTATGTTATTAATTGCACACTAAATATATTGAGCACTCGCCATTGGAGAAATATATATAGGTCATCGGGTTGACACTGTTTGATGGCTGAGATTTGTTGGATCTGCCCCTTTTGGTCTTTTTATATTGGTATATTATTGTATCTTCTCCCCAACAATACTTTACAATATTCATTTGTTTCTGAAATATTGCTTTAATTCGAATATTAAATGATTCAAATTTATGGTGGCCCAAAACATTCATTTGCTTCTATAAAAGTACTGCCAAAAGAGAGCCTTGCAACCCACATAAATTCCAAAGAACGATATAACATAGAGAAGGAAAAAAGGCCGTCATGGCAATATTCAAGAAGAACACAAGTGCCCAGTGTTTGTTGGCTCTTGTGCTCATGGCCGCTGTCATTTCGTCTTGTGATGCATTTGGCCAAGGTACATGCATCTCTGACCTAACTATAAGTCACTGTGGTTTTGCCATGTGATGCTAATTTTCTATATATTTCACAATATTGAGTTGTATGGATCTTATGGCATCTGGTCCATGCTGAAGCATAAATTGACATGTTGTCTGGGTATTCTTCTAAACAATGTTCTTTTTGTGAACATGCAGAAGGAGGATGTTTCATGCCTTTCCTGCAATGCGATCTGGACATGTGCAGGCGTGACTGCAACGGTTTATTTGCCTATTGCACACCGATAGGCGAATTTCACCACCGATGTTGTTGCGCTCCCAAGAAACTCAGTGCATCTGTTGATAAGAATAGTCGTCCTTGAGATATGCATTCCTAAATTGTAGTTTATATGTCACTGCTTTTTTCTGGATCCAATTCTGCCCGATTGAATAAAATTTATCACCATTGAAAAAATATCGCTCCCGAGATATTTACGTATCATGTGAAACCATAATGCTTCGTTTGGATGTTCATATTCAGACCTCGACATTGATATTGGGGCCAATATCAATTCAACTTGGACATTGATATTGACATTTAAGACAAATTCTGCTGTTTGGATGTTGATATATTTGACACTTAGACATTGACATTGAGACCAATTCTAAATCTGCACCATGGGATATTCCAGTAAACAATATCTGCAAATGTGTCCATCTACATAAGATATCTCAAGGAGTTAATGACGAAGCTAACTAGTGGCCAAGAGCTAACACGAAAAGTTCCAGTGTATGAGACCACATAAAACAGAACAGACCCGAGTCACACCTGCACCTGCATGCCCTTGTGATGTATGGTAGTTATAGTACATTTTATATAATATACTGTAGCTGCTACAGCATATTTATTTGAAAAGAGCAGTGAGGGTTCTCCTTGTTTTCCAGATGAACAATTTGCATGTTTTTCAGGCAATCGGATTCTGTCCTTGAAGGAGGCCACGCAAGAGTTATGCTTGGCCAGCTGGAAGGAACAAGGAAGCAGTCTCCATAGCCTGCACCAATGCATATTAAATCTTCAAGTAATCGTTGTCACTGTATAGCAGTCGTTTGTATAAGGGAGAATACACAACAGCATGTTTATTTCAAAAAGGGAGCAAGGGCTATTATTTCAGATGAACTCTTGACAAGTTGCTTGTTCTCAGGTACAAAGCTTATTTCAGTAGCGCGGGTTCCCTACTTAGCTGACGGTATCAAGATTGTGGCGAGCAAGGATCACAAGTTGAGAATACAATTCCATGGTCTTCATGGGCTGAAGTCTGCCAATATAATTGAATTCAATGGTATAATTTTTGCTCCCGCGGCATTTGGTCTTGTTAGCTAAATTTATAGTCAAATTTAGATCTCCGAAAGCGGGGGCGCACTACATTATGGAACGGAGGGAATAATTCTCTTGCCTTGACCGCCATTAATTAATTAATTTACAATGCAAACATGCATCATTTCACAAACTGTACACAATGACAGTACATCTCATTGGCAAATCCTACTCATAGCTATTGCACAATCATCTACTCCCTCCGTTTCAAATTACTTATCGCAGGTATGGATGTATCTAGATGTATTTTAGTTTTAGATACATTCATTTCTGCGACGAGTAATTTGGAACGGAGGGAGTACTAGCAAGTCTAAATCTAATAGGAGTAGGCAATTCCTTAACAATGGATCAGCCTTAGATGATGTCACGATGCAATGGATTAGCTAGGTGGTCCTTTTCTTCTTCTCCATCAAACTTGGACCATCCATGGACTGGACAGATCCACCCCCCTACACATTTCATGTGAATTAGTATTATCATTATTGTCATTGTTACACATGTCATCTCAAGATTATGGCAACAGCAGAACGCATGCTTCAGATCACAAGATATTATATGAATTACGCTAAGCTAACAGTTACGCCCTGTTCGGTACGTAGGAAAATCAAAGGAAAACCCACAGAAAACGCATTCCTACGGAATCACTGCGTTTTATGTGTTCGGTACGAAGGAATGCTCCCGTTCCAAACCGATGGAAGGTTACCAGCTCCTGCGTTTTCACGGGAAGAGAAACATCCACCCGGGGCTCTTGTTTTCGCGTAGGCCCGAGGCAAGGAGGCGAAAGGCTGGTGCGAACCATGCACGATTTGGACCCACATGCACAGGAACTGCAGCTGGTGCTCATCTTTTTAGCATTTAAAAACAACTAGGTGGGACCTGCATGAGCTAATTTCCTCTGATTCTATTTCCTGTGTCCCGATGCAGCACAACAATTTCCCTTCCTGTGTCTTGTTCCTCTATTCCTTTCCAGTTCCCATGTTGTTTCCCAATCCTCCGATTTTCTTCCCTTTATTCCGAACAGGCCTTTAATGTGCGTGCCTAATTGGGGCCTGACATATGCGTGAACACTAAATCGTGATGTACCCCTCAAAACAAAACAAAAACTAAATCTTGATGTACATTCTGTCTTAAATAGAAACTAAGTACAGTAGGAGTATACGTTATGTGATTAGGAATGGCTTAGTAGATGCTCTAAGCAGGCAGACATGCATGCACACACATCTAACACGATCTACTCCAATAATACTTTCTCCGTTCCTAAATATTTGTCTTTCTAAAGATTTCAATAAGTGACTAATAGTAATGAGCAAAGTGAGTGAATCTACACTCTAAAATATGTCTATATACACATCCATTTGAAATCTCTAAAAGAACAAATATTTAATAACGAAGAAAGTATATGACAATATATTCTATTCTGCATCCCGGCCGCGTGACCCGTGCGCGTCGGCGGCGCCTAATAATTTGGGCGCCCTCCCCTCATTGGTACACTCATACACACACACGCGTGTGGGTCGTCCATGCCTTGCCGACGTCGGCGCAAGTCGGTCTTTGGGGAGGTGCAGGGGAAAACAAGGTGGGTTGCTCCATTACTAGACCTCTGACTGTCGGTTCAGTACTGTTTGCTGATTACTGTAGACAATTACTGCTCATACTCTACAAGTGATATTTTTATTATGTTAGTTTTCTCAGAAGTGATATTTTTATTACTATGTTTTACGGCCTACCATTCCATGAATTGGTTGACCTGACACTCAAAATAGCACAAGACACAATTAAAGGCAAAACATACAGTAACAGAAAGTGATAAGGGATACTTAAAGTGGTTGGAGTAGAAACATATATTACTCCGTCCGTTCCATAATGTAAGACATTTTTTGTAACTAGTAATGTAAAAAAAAGTCAGGCAGGCATGCATCCATGGTCCGCGTCTTTTGGTCAGCACGTGAAGCTGAGTCCCGATCCTCCGAGCTTGTCCTCGACGACGGCGTCGATGCGGCGGGCCATCTCGGGCGTCATATGGTTGGCCCAGTCCCCCACGACCCCTTCCCTGAAGAAGGATCGATTGGGGAACTTGAGGAACTGCCCAAACACTCCAGTGTTGTTGGCGTCCAGGTCTTTCATCGTGTTGATGCTGCACAGCCTGCAGATGTCCATGGGCGAGCCCGCCGCCTCCTCTGCCGCCGTGAAGGGCACACCGAGGAACAAGGCGAGCTCCCGGACACTGCTGACCGGGTCGAGCAGCATCTCCTCGTACCTTAGGAAGAGGACCCTCTCCGGACTTGCTTTGCTGGCCCGCCAGTAGCCGAGAATGTGGTCCCAAATGGGGCCGTGGGGGTTTTTACCGTCGCACGCAGACTCGAACAGGTCGGAGAAGGGGAAGGCGGCGCCTCCTGCAGCCATGATGAAGTGCCACATGGAAACCAACATATCCTTGGGCTTCCTGCATCCACCCATCGATTAGACCCTTGGTTTGTAATTTTCTAGGTAGTATAATAACCACTTAAAAAGATAGCACGCTATACCGTCGCTAATAGCACGCCATAGCATATTAAGAATTGCCTCCTTAAATATATCGGTATACAATGTCTCGCTAATAGTATATTTTAAGGTCGGCGTTATTTTGCTGTAGGGCGTGAGACTACGGAGATAAAAAGTTGCTACGTACCTGCAGATGTAGATGATTTTGCAGCGGGCCAAGGAGGGTGGCAGCAGGGAGTGGTGCATGTGCGTGTGCATCAGCCTATGTAACGGCAGCGCCTCCAGCTTGGCTTCCTGGCCGGCACTGAAGAGGGCCTCAAGGTGGGGGACGCAGTCGTGCGGGTTGAGGCGGAGGAGTGGGTGATCGGCGCCCGACGGTGGGTAGGTGGCCCGTGCCATGGTGGCCAAGGACAGAGCCTTGAGCCAGGTGGTGCCGCACTTGGGCGGGTTCGCCAGGAGCACGTCGTCAGGGCGCGGGGCGAAACGCCGCTGGACGGCGATCACCCCAGGGACGATCCACGGGCGGAGCCAGACACCCTGGTAGAGGACCAACGGCCCAAAACTGGTGGTGATGCTCGGCAAGGTGGAGATGATGTTCGCGTACTCTTCCGGCCGGTGTTCATCCTCCTCTTCGTGGACGACGTCCTTGAACGGCACGGGGCTGACGATGCTTCCTAGAGCAGCCATTGGTGCTGGTGGTGCCTCCGCATGCTGCATTATTTAAGGGCTCAGATCCAGCCCGGTGCTCCCTGTGGCCCCTTTCTTGATTGTGCATGAATTGGTTGCATGATTGCTTGAATGCATGGTAAGTAAAGATTTGTTTGGATTCTACTAATTTGACTTTTTTCTTGTTTTTTAAACACAGTACAGACGCAAGCGCTCATACCATTTAGTGGTAGTATAAATATTCTATTAGATAAGCCCGTAATTGCACGCCTATTATTACATTGGCGCGCTAAAATCTTGACAAGTTTTTGTATGAAATTGCCATGATACACATGCCATCTTATTGTTAAGCATTTATCTAGTAAGAGTTTATTTACTTACCAAATAAAATATTATTTCAAAGAAAGATTAGAGATTGGATGAAAAATGTCATGTTATAGTTAAACACTTACTCTCTCCGTCCCATAATATAAGATGTTTTTCGACACTAGTTTAGTGTCAAAAAATGCCCTACATTATGGGACAGAGGGAGTATTTGTTAAGAATCTATTGACTTTACTTGTGGGGAAAATGTATTGACTTACAAAGGAGTATTATTATTTGGGCGAAAAAACAGAACTCGGAGAAAAAAGCAAACAAGAGAAGGGAAGTGAAGACAATATATGGAAAAGAATTATATAAGACCAGGTCTCACGTATTAATGTATATTCATCAGTATATAATCCTTGTAATTATATCTGACAGATTAGCTAGGATAGTTTCCTAGTTAGATTGATTATTAAGATCCATTGTAATCTTTTGTATTTGGCAATCCAGATTGCCCTATTATTAATACCATGCAAGTCCGGGAGGTAATTTCACGGCAAATCATTCTATTGTTCTAATTTGGTATCAGAGCCTTGATCCCTTCTCCACGCCATGGCTGGCACCACCACCGGCGCGCTCGTCACCACCACCGCCGGCCCGATCGTATCTGGTCCCACCGCTTCCATGCCGTCGCTCGCCGGCCTCATCACCGTCCGGCTCACCCGCGCCAATTTTCTGCTTTGGAAGGCGCGGGTTATCCCAAACCTCACCGGCGCCGCCGCACCACCGAAGACAATCGTCATGGGCATCGGCGATGCCGCCCACTCGGCGCCCAACCCCGAGTACGAGCCCTGGCGGAGGACCGACTAGGCCGTGCTCGGCGCGCTCTTGTCCTCCATGACGGAGGAGGTGCTCGCCCAGATGACGCGAGCAACTTCCGCGGCGGCCGTATGGTCTGCCCTTGGCGCCATGTTCGCCGCCCAGAACCGGGCTAGCGTGCGCCAACTTCGCACGCAGCTGTCGCAGACAAAGAAGAAGGACATGTCCGCGGCGGAGTTCTTCCACAAGATGACGGGCTATGCTGATGCGCTGGCCACCGTCGGCGAGGTGTTGTCTGATGACGAGATCATTGGCCACATCATTGGAGGGCTGGGTCAGGAGTATGATCCACTCATGACGGCGTTGTCCATCTTCACTGGGGAAGTCAACCTATCTGATTTCTACTCCCATCTCCTCAGCTTTGAGGCACGACGGGAGCAGCACGCCGCCAACCATGGCGACTTCTCTTCATCAGCCAACAACGTCGTCCGCCAAGGCAACAGCCCGAGGCCCCGCGATGGCAGCCGCAGCAGCAACGGCGGCCGCAACAACAACGTCAACAGTGGCTACAATGGTGGCCACTATGGCAACCGTGGCAACAATGGAGGTCGCCACAACGGTGGCGGCGGTAGAAACCGTCGTCTTCCAAGATGCCAAATATGCCGCGATGAGGGGCACTACGCCATCGACTGCCGCGAGCGCTACAATCATGCCTACCAGTCGGATGGGCACCGCAGCAGCAACATGGTGACATACGGCCACTGCGACAACAACTGGCACCTCGATACTGGTGCCACCGACCACCTCACCAACGACCTTGACCGCTTGACGATGCACGAGCGCTATAGTGGAAAGGATCAAGTTCAAGTTGCAAATGGTGCAGGTTTGAAAATTTCTCATATTGGTCATACTAAACTTACTGGCTCAAGTGATCCTATCTACCTTAATAATGTGCTCCATGTCCCTGGCATTCATAAACATCTACTTTCTGTTTATCGCCTTGTTTCCGATAATTGAGTGTTTGTCGAATTTCACAAATATTTTTTTGTGTGAAGGACAAAATAACGAGGAGGGTTCTTCTTCACGGTAGAAGCCGCCGTGGTCTCTACCCTATCCCATATGGTCGGCCGTCGTCATCGTCATCTTCGCGTCAAGCTTTTTCCGGAGTCCGGTCTTCATCGAGTTAGTGGCATCATCGTTTGGGCCACCCTTCGAATAATGTAGTTGAGTCCGTCGTTCGGTCAAATAAACTCCCTTGTTCGTCAAGCCATAATACTTTCGTATGTGACGCGTGTCAACGCGCCAAAAGTCATCAGTTACCTTATAATAATTCATCTTGTGTTTCTTCGAAGCCACTTGAGCTTATTCATACCAATGTGTGGGGGCCGGCCATGGGCCTCCTTTGGAGGTTTCAAATTCTATGTAAACTTTGTTAATGACTTTAGCCGTTTTACCTGGAGTTATCTTCTTAAACATAAATCTGATGTCGAACAAGTTTTTTACAATTTTCAGGCCCATGTCGAACGACTCCTCAACACAAAAATCCGTGCGGTACAATCTGATTGGGGCGGTGAATACCATCGCTTGCATGCATTTTTTCAGCGTGTTGGTATTTCTCATCGCATATCATGTCCACACAAATCCCAACAAAATGGTATCGCCGAACGAAAGCACAGCCACTTGGTTGAAACCGGACTTGCTCTCCTTGCTCACTCTAATCTTCCACTGCGTTATTGGGATGAAGTCTTTCTCACCGCGTGTTATTTGATCAACCGCATGCCTAGCCGGAGTCTCCAAAACATGCCACCACTCACACGCCTCCTTAACATCACCCCCGATTACTCTTTTCTTCGTATATTCAGATGTGCGTGTTGGCCTAGTCTTCGTAAATACAACTCTCGGAAACTTGAGTTCCGATCCAAGATGTGCGTTTTCCTTGGATATAGTCCGTTTCATAAAGGATATAAGTGTCTTGATAAATCCACTGGTCGCATCTATATCTCTTGAGATATTGTCTTTGATAAAAAAAGTTTTTCCTTTTGCGACTAGTGCATGTCCTGATTTATCTCTCTTAAATCCTCCTGTGTCATTTCCATCAAATGAGCCAGTGGTTCAGGATGCTAATGTGAGAAATTACAACTTGTCCTTTTTGTTTCCCGAGTCTTATCCTGCAGGTACAGAGAGCAGCGCTACAGGGGCGACCAGCGCGATGGACGTGCATGCTACACCCCCATGCACTCAACCCGCCAGCGCCACGCAGCTGGCTGCTGGCCCAGCTCCCGCTACACAGCCGCTCCCTGCTGAGCCGGATGCGGCCCAGTCGTCGCCCAAGCTAGAGGCGACTAAGGGCATCTCCAGCTGCGCCTCCAACAGGGCCCCCCAGGCCACTTTTTCGGCACTGGCGCCGAAAAAACGGCCCAGTCGTGTCCTCAGGACGTCGAAAATCGCCGGTTCGGACCTTTTTTCCGTCCGGCGGTCACAGGCCGAACCCGACGCGCTGGGTAGCAGTTGGGGGCTCCGGCGCTAGGGAAAAGCACGCCTGGCCCACACCGACAGGGGAAAAGTCAAGATTTTCTTCCCCCGGCTCGCCTCGCACCCCCGCGTCCTCGGCCACCACTAGCTATATCCCGGCGACGGCCGCCGCCCTACTCCGCTAGATAGCCATTCCCCGCCGAAAAAATAGCAGCGCTTCGCCACGGCAGCCCCTCCCACAGCAGCTGGGCGTTTCCGGCCGCCGTTTCCGGCCGCGAAGGCGCGGTTTAACGGCGGGTACACGCCCACCGAGCGCAAGGTCTTCGGTGTTTTGCCTGCCTCGGCAATGGACTCGGATGAGGAGGAAGAGCTCGCCGTGCTGCTGGAGGAGGAAGCCGCGGCTGACGTCCAGGAAGAAGAGCATCTCATGGTGCTCGCCGCCCTCGCCCAGCTGCTGGCGAGCAATGAAAAGCCGCGGTGAGGTGGCTCGGTGCCGGGGCGGATGAAAGCAAAGAACCGACATCGTCTCCAAGGCTACTGCATGCTCTACTCCGACTACTTCACCGATGCTCCACTTCATGGCGAGATAACATTTCGGTGCCGTTATCGGATGAGCCGAAAGCTCTTCCTCAAGATTGTGAATTCCATCCGGAAGTTCGACAACTACTTTAAGTGCAAGATGGATTGCACTGGCGCTCTTGGATTCACCTCCATCCAGAAGTGCACAACAGTGATGAGGATGCCTGCATATGGAGCTCCCAGTGATTCACTCGACGACTATGGGCGCATGGCCGAGTCCACCAGCATAGAGTGTTTCTACAAGTTCTATCGAGCAGTGGTGGCAGTGTTTGGGCCACAATACTTGAGAACACCCAATGCGGAAGACACTGCTCGGATCCTAACCCAGAATGCAGCAAGAGGATTTCCTGGGATGCTTGGAAGCATCGACTGCATGCATTAGAAATGGAAGAATTGCCCATTTGGTTGGCAGGGGATGTACAAAGGCGCCAAAGGCGGTTGCAGTGTGGTGCTTGAGGCGGTAGCCACACAGGACCTCTGGATTTGGCACTCCTTCTTTGGTATGCCAGGAACTCATAATGACATCAACATGCTGTAGTGCTCTCCTGTTTTTGCCAAGCTCGTTGAGGGCCATTCTCCTCCGGTGAACTTCGAGATCAATGGGCACCAATACAACAAGGGGTACTATCTAGCTGATGGCATCTATCCGAGATGGTCGACATTTGTGAAGACGATCTCAAACCCTGTGGCAGGAGGCAAGAACGCCTGGTTTGCGAAACTTCAGGAGGCTTGCAGGAAGGATGTCGAGCGGGCATTTGGTGTGCTCCAATCTCGATTTGCTGTTGTTCGGTACCCCGCTCAGACCTGGTCCAAAGATCAAATGTGGGAGATTATGACTTGCTGTGTCATCTTGCACAACATGATCATCGAGAGCG